TAACGAAAAATAGTCAAAACTTACTAAAATATCGCGTCCAAGTTTTTCAGCCTTATTCTGTATCTCGAACGTTAGGCCGCACGAACGATTCGTCTGTAGGCGATATCGTCACGGATTGCAAGTTTGTAACTCTGTCGTTCGTCTTCGTCTTGCCTTTACGTCGATTACGTTGCTATCGTCTCGGTTACGTTGAATGATGTTGCCGGATGTAATTTTTATGTACTTTCAAAGATTTTTTCTTAGATTTCTAATATTTTCAGCTTATTTCAATGCTTTTTATTTTAAATAAGCAACATCGGAATTGTTTACATTTTGGTTTTGCTTAAAAGTGTTTTGGTTGTGTTGCGGAAAGAATATAAGGAAAATCTATTTTAAAAAATGTATGCTGCTATAGCGCTAATGGACGCCGAGGAATCTGAAGAAAGGGAAAGGCGGATACAGAGGAGGAGATTGCGAGACCACACCAATGTAATGGAACTACCTGAGACTGAGTAAGTTCAAGATTAGCCAATAATTTTTGTATGGTACAATGTATTCTTTTTTAGATTTGTTGCAAATTTCCGAATCAATAAGGAAATATTCCAGTACATTTTAAATGAATTACAAGAGCATATGGCTCCATCACATAGAAGCACCCACCTATCGCACCAGCTGAAACTCGCGACTTTTTTAAGATTTCTGGCCACCGGCAGTTACCAAAAATCTGTTGGTAACGAAAATATTTCGTCGATGGGGCAGTCAACTGCAGCCAAAGTGATTAAGGAGTGCCTAAATATTTTTGAGGACCACTTTTGCCAGAAATGGGTGAATTTTAGGAGAAACAACGATGAGGAAAATGCTGTTAAAGAATATTTCTTTGAGAAATACGGAATACCTGGGGTCATTGGTTGTGTTGATGGAACACACGTTCGTATTAAGTCGCCAGGAAGTGACAACCTCCATCTATACCTCAACCGCAAGGGTTTTTACAGTGTTAATGTAATGGCGGTAGGTTAATGATATACTATCTTTACAAGTATACATATACACAAACTGAGTTTCCTTACAGATATGCGATCACAACATGGACATTAAATTTGTTGACGCTAGGCATCCAGGGGCGAATCATGACTCATTTGTTTGGAATGTGAGTGTCGCAGAGCAGGAGCTAAAATCTGATTATAACAATGGGAAAACCAACACATGGCTACTTGGTAAGTTTTAAAACTTAAAAAGGCTATAAAACTATTGATGACAATGAAAATTTTTGTAGGTGATTCTGGTTACCCCTTGCAGCCATACTTGATGACGCCAT